AATTCACACTTGGACAGCTTTGCATACAACTCTTTCTCCCTCAACACGGTTAGTACTGCTCTCAAGTGTTCTTCATGCTCGGCATTGGTCTTGGAGTAGATGAGAATATCATCTATGAAAACGACCACAAACTTGTCTAGATAAGGTCTGAATATCCGATTCATGTAATCCATAAAAATGGCTGGTGCGTTCGTCACACCGAACGGCATCACTACGTATTCGTAGTGTCCATAACGAGACCTAAAAGCAGTCTTCTGGATGTCATCCTCCTTCACTCTAATATGATGATATCCAGACCGCAAGTCAATTTTTGAGAACACGGTGGCCCCATGCAATTGATCCAGCAGGTCGTCTATTCTTGGCAAGGGGTACTTGTTTTTGATGGTCAACTTATTCAATTGTCTGTAATCTATGCACAAACGAGAGCTGCCATCCTTCTTCTTCACCAAGAGTACAGGCGCTCCCCATGGTGATACGCTCGGCCTGATGAATTGTTTATCCATGAGTTCTTCAATCTGCTTCTTGAGTTCAACCAACTCTGCAGGCGCCATACGGTATGGTTGAACAGATATAGGGGTTGCCGTTGTCACCAAATCAATGGTGAATTCAACTTCCCGAGCAGGAGGCAACCCTGGTATTTCATCTGGAAAAACGTCCGAAAACTCCTCCACAATGGACGTTCGCTCTTTACTGCCAATAACGGACGTTCGTTCGTGCCTTAATCTTCCAAGATCTTGGTCTTCATGCGTCATGATTAAGAAGCAGCTCGCACCTCCCATTATATCCTCCTTTAACTGACCAAGCGTTACTGTTAACTCCTCTTCTTCATCATCCGAAAACACCAATTCCTTCTTACCACAATCTATGAGGATATGATTGGTAGCCAACCAATCCATTCCCAAAATCACCTCCAAACCTTGAAGAGGTAAGCAGATGAGATTGACTTTGTACTTACGGCCTTCCACTTCTATAGGACACCGGACGCACATAGTGGACGTCCTGATCTCTCCAGCCACTGGGGTTGACACCACCAGATCAAACTGCATTTCACTCAACTCTAATCCCAGTTTGCCAACGCACGCCTTCGAGATGAAGGAATGTGTTGCTCCCGAATCAAACAGCACGCAACAAGATCTACCATATACTAAACATGTACTGATGATGAGTGTACCTGAACTAGCTGCCTCTGCACCAGTAATAGCATACACGCGTCCAGCTGCTTGGGCTCGTCCTCCTCTAGGCTGATTCCTGCCAGCGTTTGGTGGCCTCATCACTGCCCGTCCACCCATGTTACACTCATTTTCCAAGTGTCCGTTTCGCCCACAACGATTACAGTGCTTCACTCCCACCAGTTGAGGACAGGACGAACGGTAGTGTGGTCCTCCACACTGGAAACACGTAACATTCCCATACTGTCCAGCTCGTCCAGAAGGAACTAAAGCTTGAGAACCGCTCGTGTTAGATGGCTGAATTTGACGAGCGTACGGGGCTCTTCTTGGAGTAACATTGCCCCTGGAAACTATAGGTCCTCTACTCACTTGCTGTTGCTTCTTGTGCCTTTCCGCTTCTGCCATGTTCTTCTCTAAAACCTTGGCCCTTTCAACCATGG